CAATTGTACAAGTTTGGATTGATGCGAAGTCCACCAGAGTGGTAATGGACATGCTGCAACAAGAAGTGAGTTAGCACCAATGGAAGACAACGTATTGACATATTCAGATGTGCACAAGCGGTTGGGCACAAAAATATCTGAAACATACAGGTGGAACATTGGGATAGCTTCCAGGAAAGAAGACATCGAAGAAAAAGAGACCATCATGGTACGGAGTTCCTTCAGCTCCTACTATTACAGCCCTCAAAAGATCCATTCTGGATTCATAGACCCGAACAAATATGGTATCTGATAGAGTGGCAACAAAAATATAGAAGGTGAGGAATGGATTCATTCTAACAAGCTCAGCAAAATGATGGTAACGCCATTAGTTTTAACAAAATGTACAGGGACTATAACTAAATTTGCTCAGATATCATCATAAATTGATCCTGAAATTCAGAAAGCTTACCAGGCAGATCTTTCTCCAGGATTTTCCATTCCTCTTGTATTCTCTTTGTCCAACCCTTTGACGGCTATATCAAATATTAAAGATGTTAGTGTGAAAGCATGTTAATATATGCAAAAGATAAAACTAAAGACTTATACATGTATTTGCATCATGCATCCTTTAAAGGTGTGCTTGCCTGTTTCATAGATGAACCATTTTTCGAGTAGTGGTGGTCACAGTAATTTTCAACGGTGTCAAATTGCTTAAAATGATTGAAGTTCTGAAGAATTTCATTCAAATTCCTATTCTCCACGTTGGTGAGAGGTTCTGGAGTTGCTGCAGAAAATGCATTATTTTGGTTATTGGCAAGATCATGTCCCCACGGGGCATATGAGCTTCCACTAATAAAACCAGGACGAACTGGACAAGGTTCCAACATATTCATATTCCATGATGGAACTGGCACAAAAGTTCCGGCTCCAGGTGTGTGCATTGGATTTAGTTTAGGGTAGCTACCACTACCACCAACTTGCATGTATGAACCGAAGGGAGCAGATGGTGGGGGTGGTAGATGAGACTTCCTCCTACCCTTTCCAAAAGAGGGTAAAGGGTCCTTCCCATGTTTAACATTCAACAAACTACTAGAGATATCCGAAATTGGATAAGGTGTACTGCTTAAAGTGGTTAATTTCTCCCGTTCTGGTTCCCACATAGTTGAAGACCGTTTCAACTCCACAGGTTGACCAACTGCATGCACTTGGGTACTGAACTGTGAACTGTTCCGTGAAGTTGGTTGACCCTTTATTAAGACATCTTTCAATTTCAGTGATGGGCGAGACGAATTCGTGGCAGGGAAATTGGCATCAGTCAATTGAAGTTGCAAAGTTGAATTGGTTGAGGTGCTTGGGGTCATTAACTTCATGTTATTTCCTGCAGAACTTGGCAACCAGGGAAGAGGAGCCTCTATCCCAGGAGGAATATCCATATGATCAAAATGTGATTGCAAAATTGTATAGTCTTCCTCAATGAGATCATCAAAATACATATCTATACACTCATCTTCTCCGTAGAAGAGAGAGGAATTGAAATCATCTACATTGATAGAATTATGTAATCCAGCAGAGCCATTGTTGGACAACTGAATGCCATTCCCAGATCCACCAGTATCTATACTACTAGGACCCAGCGAAAAGTCGGACAGAGCTTCCTATAAGCAAAATTAAAAATGATTAGATTAGTGCAGAGTTATCAACAAGAACTTGTGATGACCAACACTAAATAAAACAAATTATAAGCACAAGGCAATAATAGTTCGTGAGAACTCTTAATTACCTTGCCTTTGCCACTTGTGTCAACTTGCC